TTTATAGAAAAACTCAACTCTATTTACTAAAAATATTTTTATCGAGGTAAAAGGTCGGTAATATAATTATACAATACATAGGCATTCCTAATGCTACATAAACTAAACATAATTCTATGATATATACAATTTGTCAAATTAGGAGTAAGCTTGGGTACTTTACCACCCGAAAATTCTAAATTAACTATGGCTGGAGGATCTAGGTTCATTTCCATAAAAACTTTGATTAAAAAGTCCTTCTTGACATGTCCCTTCACGTAAACAGTATCAACGTCTTTCAAATTCTTCCGAAGCAGTTGATTAAGTTGTTCATAGTCTACATGACCTGCATTGTAAGAGATACCATGTAGGTTGTGGAACACGTAGTTTACTTCTTTCTTCTGAGCCTCGCTCAAGTTACGGTACAATATTTTGGGCTTAAACACCCAACTTCGCAGCAATTTCCCATCATAAATGGCCAACTCTTTTACTTGGAAATCAGTAGAAAAGTAGCCTTGAACGTCCAGAACCACAAACTTCATCCTTTTCTGTGCAAAGTTTGGGAACGACTGATTAAATCAAAGTTCGAACATTACCTGATAAGGGCAAGTATTCAAACACTCGATCATGCACGATAATGCAGCAGGCTCGTGATTCATCAGAAAAATTCTCCGAGCTTTGGAATTCCAATCTAACATCGATGGTACTGCTTTTCAAAGCTTCGTTTTGTTTCGAGCAGTCTATCACAAATAATGCCCTATTTGAAAAATTTTCAAAGTCCAATAATGGCTCACTATTGGTTTTACCCAAATACGTGTTTTGAAATTCGGTATACATCCGGTAGGCTTCTGCAAACTGTTTCGCATTGAAATTAAGGTTTAGGGACTCGTACGGATATATCTCGGAGTTAAGATATAGTTTAACATCCGTAATATTCAAATGATCAAAAAGAGTAATATAATATCTTGGATTATCCTTTCGCTTCTTCTGAAACAATACTATGACATATCTCGCTCTCTCTGACATGGATTTTACAGTCCATACGTCTCTCTTGGTTTTTCTCAATGAGGGCAGCTCGTGGATCTCCCAACTTCTGAATGGAATGAATATGGGCTTGTTATTTGAAATGTCTTCCAACAAGCTCAATTTCAAAACATCATCTGGATAAATGTGCCTCACTCTCAGTTCTACTTTGTCTAGAGTGATTTTGGCCGTTTTATCACCCGTCGTATTGGTATAGCAGTTATCGTCATTTCTAGCTCTAACAAGTTTTATTTTTTGTCTACCCATAATAACCTTGTTGTAATCGGAAAAGATATTTAGCATTGCCCTCAAGGGTATCAGGAAATTAAAGTTTTCTCCTACTGAGGATTTCACTACACCATTAGGCCAATTCCAGCCAGCTCGCTCGAGTGCCCGGCTCTCTTGATCGTTGAGGCATAAGAAATTCAGCACTGTGCTAGTGAGTCCGGGATCTCGGATTCTTTCAATTTCCTTGCCGTTTAATTCGTAGGTGATGGATTCGAAAAGAAATGCTCCCGCATTAATTGTTAGATTACATTTTCCTGTTTTCCCAGCGGTAGTGTCTTCGTGAAACTTTCCTTCGATATAGATTTCGGCTTGGCTGATATCCATAAACACGTCTTGCTGATTGATAACAATTTCGATTTCGTCGTTATAGTTGAAAGAGTTTGTGAAAGGATGGTAGGTATGCCATTCTTCTCTAGCTATGGACTCATCGGTGTTGACCGACTGAAATATTCGCAGTTTTTCTGATGTGATAGCCATATTTAGAGGCCAGAGAATTCAACCGTATCAGACTTCTGTGTGTGAGCGCTTGCCTCGATGCCTGGGTACAGACTGAGTTACAGTTATTGAAACCACTGCTTAAGTAGCCACGATTAAAAACCAGGACCATACTTCTTCAGCTCTAATCTCACTATAATCTCTTCTCCTCTGAAATTAACCGGCCTTGCTTCTTGATCGAGTATATTGATTGTTAAATTATCGATGCTGTTTCTATTGAGAGGAAGATAGATCAAGTTACGAGGATCTACTATAATTCTGTATCCAGGATCAACAGCTGGTGTAAACTCGTAGATCGTATGGGATGGATTACTAGTGTAGTAGGAGCCTGAAACGATGTTGCACTCAATCCTTATAGTTGCCACTGATATGATCTCTACGGGCAGATCGGATTCGTGCAAAGAATTGGCTTTCAGAGATTTTTCTGAGAATCCCAAAAGTTTTCCAATACTATCCTTGGGTTTGAAATTAATATCGTATATGCACTTTAGCATACACTTTAATGTATTATTGTTTGGTTTGAGAGAAATCTGTTCTATTCCAGTTGGATTTGATAATTGGTTTAGTAAATAGGCTTCAATATCTGCAACCTCGTACGATCCAGTTGGAATTTCCAATTGTTTTTCCTTTCCTTCTTCGCTATAGTAGAACTTGTTTCGACCTGGTTCAATGTTGGGAATGGAATTCCAAGTAGTGAACGAGATGAGAGCCAATGAATAGCTATAACCAGGATCGAGCTCGATAGGTGCAGTAAAATCAACGCTCAAGCAACTGGTTCGACCTTTTAACGTGAATGTCTGAGACATGACTAAGCTAACTTAACACGATGCCGAACTTATATCGAACTATTAAACAAGAAGCTTAGTACAAGATGGCCGCAATTGTATGAGTTATAGGACTGATACTGGTCGAAATTGAAAACTATCTTACATTTTTTAAAATAACGAACTAGTTCATTCGGAGGATTGAGGTTCCCGAAACTGTCAAAGTAAATCACTTTATCGCCACTTTTTTTATATGCTACCCAATGCGTTCCCGACCCCGTATTTGTGTCCAAATTAACTACAGCACATTCGTTTTTGTTGGGACGCGATGGTAAGTTATCTCGCATAAACACGTCTCTAAAATTGGAAATTTCAAGTTTTTTAACGTATCGTTTGATATCCTGATCACTAAGTGGCCGCTTGGGTAGCTTTATTGGTAGTTTTTTGGCATCTTTTTCAAATAGAGTCCATATCCGGTCTTGTGTTTGGCTAAATATAATCCATTCCCCTTTTTTCCCAACGCAATGGCTTCCATCGTTTGGTTGTGACGTTTAGACTCGGCGAGTTTATCCTTGGCAGAACGGGTATCGTTGACAGCTTTCGCAATACCGGCGGCACCGCCAGATAATGCCCCGAGGGCACTGAGCCCGGAAAAGAGAGGAATCAGCGGAATAATACCGCCTAATTTCGGTACTGGAATAACTCGCGGAACTTTGATATTCCGACGTCCACCAGCCGTTCTAATAGTCTTACGAGCTGCCTGAAGAGCCGATTTAATAAAGTCTTTGCTTCCTCTCCCACGATGCTTCATTTGCTTTCTCACATTAGAAACCACGTACGAACTGAAGGGTTTCAATTTTTTCGGTCGACCCATACCGAGTTTACGTTTAGCTTTCATTGCAGCAGTTATGAACAAAGCAGCACTTTTTTCGCCGAAACTAGCGTCTTTAGCCTTGACTCGTTCCCACGATTTATTCTCCAACACTTTATCAGCCCGATGTCTCTGTTGTAGATCCGGCTTTAGGGCGTATTCGATATCGTGTTCTCTACAGTAACTATCCAACTTGTTTTTCGGCTTATCGCCTCGTGTTAATCGCTGCTTCAATCTAGTTCCAGGACCACAGTAGGAGTATCCAGGTAAATGAGCTTCAAACGGAAGTTTGTTGATGGCGCTATTTAAAAGACCTGCACTCGGTGACGTATTCATTAAGAATGAAACCGAGCTAGAGTGAGCATCGTTTATATACGATGAGAATGAAAAAGCAGAAAATTAAAATTGAGATCAACAACTTTGACATAGAAAAGACAAGGATTGAAAAGAGACATGGGGACCTTTTACCAAACACGATTAGAGCAATAATATGTGGATCAAGTGGTTCGGGGAAAACAAATGTTATGCTTAGTCTTTTAACCGATGAAAACGGTCTTAGATTCAGAAACGTCTATGTTTATTCCAAATCATTGAACCAGGATAAGTATAAGTTCCTAGAAGCGTTTTAAAACGGGTTGCCGGTGTAAAACTTTACGGATACAGTGATAATGAAACCGTTGTAGAGCCGCAAACAGCTCAGCGAGATTCGGTGTTTATCTTTGACGATGTAGCCTGCGAGAAACAGGACAAGATTAGGAACTACTTTTGCATGGGCCGCCATAACGCTATTGACTGTTTCTATCTTTGCCAGACGTATTCGAAAATCCCGAAACAATTGGTTAGAGATAATGCTAACATGTTGGTACTTTTCAAGCAGGATGATACGAACTTGAAACATGTATATGACGATCATGTAAACACAGATATGTCTTTTGATACGTTCAAGCAAATATGTAGAGAGTGTTGGAAGGACAGATACGGATTCCTGGTTATTGTTAAGGATGACGATATTACGAAGGGTAGGTATCGATGCCAGTTCGATACCTATATATCTCCATAAAAGACAAGTACGCCTCAGTAACCGTTAGGGCATTGCTGTGTACACACCTCTGCAAAAGCTGTATCATAGCTGTCTCTGAACCTGTGTAGCACTATACAGATCATCTTAAAACCAATAGCAGACCAGTCTCTCGACCTGTGTCGCAGTCTAAAAGCTGTCTCCTGATCAGTGTACCAGTATACGGATCAGTCTAAAAGCTGTGTCAGACCAGTCTCTGGACCTGTGAAGCAGTCTAAAAGCTGTCTCCTGTCCTGTGTACCAGTTTACAGGTCAGTCTAAAAGCTGACCAGTATAGCTGTATAGCTGTATACAAGTCTGTATAAAAGCCGGTCATGTCTTCAGTTGATCATCATGAATCCAAGCGAAGTTGATAAAAATATTCAGAAAAAAATACTGAATGCTGCTAGATCTATAAGGAAAAAGTATTTGGCCTTAAAACTAGAGAGAAACGAGGAAGATGAGGCACTCAATAGGATAATGAACCCTTTAACAGACCCTCTAAAAGAGCTTGTTTAAAAAGCGGTTAATGGAAAAACCCGAATCAAACACGAAAAAATTAAGCAGGAAGCTCCTGAAACACACGTTAAATTTAAACCGAAAATTCTTGAAAATGTTGAGTTTCAACCAACAGAGGTTCTTGCTCAAACAAGTGCGAATTTAAAAAGTGATGATGATGATGATGATGATGATGAGGATGTCTTCTATGAACCGTCGTTAGAAGGGTTGAAAGAGGATCTACAGAAATCGATTCACGAAAGATCAGGAGCATATGAAGAATTTTTGGATCAGTATCCCAAAGTAGCCCAAGAGTATGTGGATAAATACTATAAAGATTCAGATGAAACAGATCATTCTTATGGCTTAAAACATGATATGAGAACTGACGATTGGTCTATGGGATCACAAAAAGTCAAATTTCTCTCGAGTGGAGATATCAAGGTGGGACCCGTTACTTATCGAGGAACACAGGGCCTATATGATCTACTGTTTTTGAAGAAGCCTCTATATCAGACGGCGGACGATAAGTTGCAGCTCAAGGATATTTTAGACAGAACCAATGCTCATCGAAGAGACTTTGATCCATCCAAGCAAGTTAAAGGATCCGTATCCTCAAAATATAAAGACATTGTAAAACCCCTTCTTTCGACATCATCTGAAGTGAAAAGGCTGAAATCGAGTAGCAGTGCCTCGCCATCTGGCCGAAATCCATCTACAAGAGCTAAAACTAAATCCGGAAGTGCTTTATTGTTGAAATATAATAAGAAACCAAAACAGTATGTTTATTATGATGACGTCAACGAATTGATTGATAGACTTGCTAAATTGGATGCATCGCAAGAAGCTGGAAATACTAATAACATCAATGAAATTATGAGTATTTTAGAGGAATTGGTTGAATTGGATGTGATTGCGTTTAATAAATAGACTCATCTGACTTATCTAACAATCATTGCAGGACTAAACTCGATCAAGCTTGGATCTCCTAACCACAGCCATAATATGACCAGTATCACTAAAGCCCGAGAGCAGGTGGTTGAAGAACTACATAAACCGGCACGTAAAAAGTTCAATCGTAGAAGATTTATACAGTATGGTCTGGATGATACTTTTGCTACAGATTTAGCCCAGCTTGATCAGTATGCTCGAGAAAACAAAGGATTCAAGTATATACTGGTTGTTATTGATTGTTTCTCTAAATACCTCTGGACTAGAGCTCTAAAGTCTAAATCAGCACAGGATGTTACCAAAGCCATGGAGAACATACTGAAAACTTCTGGAAGAATACCCAAGAAACCTATTTCGGATAATGGAAAGGAATACTATAACAGTCAATTTTTAGGTCTTATGCAGAAACATGGGATACATCATTATAGTTCATTTAGTCCTCTAAAGGCATCTATTGCAGAACGGGTAATTCGAACCTTGAAAGAAAAATTGTTCAAGCAATTTACATTATATGGAAACCATAAATGGCTGGAATTATTACAGCCAGTTACTGCTGCATACAATAATAGCAAACATAGTGCGATACATATGAAGCCAAGTAAAGTCAATAAACAAAACGAAAAGACACTGTTGAATTCCGTTTATGGTCATATCAAAGTTGTTGGTAGACAAAAGTTCAAGGTCGGTGACGTGGTTCGCATAAGCAAGTTCAAACATGTTTTTCAAAAAGGATATACACCGAATTGGAGTACGGAACTCTTTAAGGTAGCTAAAGTGCAAATTACAAACCCCACAACATATTTGTTGGAGGATTTCCAAGGTCATCCTATAAGTGGTGGGTTTTATGAAGAAGAATTACAAAAAACAAAGCAACCTGATGTGTTCCTCGTTGAACAAGTATTACGAAAGAAGGGAAATAAAGTTTTTGTAAAATGGTTGGGTTTTGATAAATTTTTCAACAGCTGGATCGATAAAACCAAGGATGTAGTATGAATTAAATTTTTCCAGGATTTATTATCCAGTTTCAGTTATGAGTTCGCACTGTCAAGTTTGTGAGGAAACTGTTTCTTCTCATTCACATAACCTAAGTCACAGACATAAAAATAAATGTTGTACGGAACTGGAACCCAATGTTCAGATCATTAAAACAGCGTTTAAGAATCGTATAATTTCCTATAGGTTATTTACAAATGTCCATCTAACCAGTGTTGGACTTTATTTGGAGGAATTAAAACCTAAAATTATGGATTTGATAAAAAAAGGGTTTTCTACATACTCCAATTTAAAAATTAACCTGGAATTATATGGACTCTATATTTTAAGAGAAATGCTCGAAATAAAATCCTTCAATTCTCGTTTTGCAGCCATTTCGCCCAACACCGATCTGAATAAGTTATTCGCTGAATTCGAACAAGTTTTAGTCTCAAAATCTGTTGAATTCCAGGAGAAAGACAGTGGGTGGGCTTTATCTAAACTCCTATTTCTGGAAGTTAACATAAACAAGTTTAAACCATTGAAATAATGGTGGGAGCTTCCTATATAAAGCAAATTTTCACAAAATTTACTCCAGTCTACTAGAAGTATGGCGAGTTCAACCCCCAGTTCAGACAACGAAGGCTTGATGTCTGCAGAAATGGAAACAACTGTATTTAATTCGTCCTGTTCTTTGTCGGGTTGGAATTATTTTAACAGTATGGTGGCGAGAAGTGATCAAGAAATCAAGAAAGAATCGAAATTTTTGGGTGAGACATGTTATGCAACCAAGAACTTCAAAATTATTGCCGGAATAAGTATCGCTCAAGGATTGATACCCAGTATAAAAGTAACAAGTACCATTTTAAACCTACCTGAAGAACAAGTGACTGTATCCTTTAGTGATAAAGAATGGACTGAATTTCTGGGAATTGTCAATTCCTTCATGGAGATGGATAATGATGATGATGATGATGTTAGTGAAGTGATAATAGTTTATTCTCTATCAGAAAACTTTACTGTTTCCTCAGCTATATTTTTGGGAGAGAGAATGATCAAGTTGACAAGCAGAGGAGTTAATTTATGCTTTTGTGTAGACGATATTGAATCCTTTTTAAAAACCCAAGATATAATAGATTACAGGCTGCGTTTACTCGCAGAACTAGATTTTAGAATTACACAGTGTGGTTTTCGTCCAGGAATATGTTAATGAAAAGTCGGTTTTCGGCTTATTTGGACTTTATTTAATGAAATATCTAAATCAACAGCCAACGTTTCGACGCATTCCGCATCATTCTCAAGGCTAAAAGAAAACATGCAAAGAACGTTACAAGCATTTCACAACGATTAACATTTTAAAAAATGACTGACAAAATAAATTAACATTTAACAAAAAAGAAGCATTTACAAAGGTTTAAAAAATAAATTAAAAAATGACGTATAAAAAAGAAATTAACATTTAAAAAGTTTCAACAATGACTATTACATAACAAGAGATAAGTAAAATGAGTTTCAAAATTATATTTTTGAAAAACTATCAATCCAGACAACATAGAACCAATTACCTAATTTGACTAATAAAAACGTCGTATTGTTATCTACAAAATACCTTACCAAAGTTTACCTTACCTAGATTATTAAAGCTATGAATCGCATCATTCGGACCGATTCATCAATAACAACAAACAAAAAAGTTCACACACCAAAGAGCGGTACTATTGCTTGCCGTGATGTTTCGGTACTACTTTTTCATATCGATCTGCATTGGTGCGTAAAACTAAATTATTGATAATGTTGATTCCCACCCCACCAAATTTCACCTTTAAAAAACTTAATTTGGGGAACAGAACCAATTGAAAACAATCGAATGGTCGGTTCATAACTGATTGGTTATGATGTTGCAGTAAATTGTACTTAAGTTTTGTGTATCCATGTTAAGGTTTACATTGGGTTTATTAGTCGTTATATGGCACATTTCTAAGAAGAGTCTTTGTTGAAAATTAGGGTGACTGTCTAAGATAGTCGATGATTGGAAGTCAAACTGGTGTCCAGTTTCGAAGTAATGTCTTGCTAGTCCTGTTTTTGGATTATCTATCTTAGTAATATTACAATCCCTTTTGTGTTCTGATATGCGATTTTTCAGATATTGTTTTGTTTGGCCTACATAGCATACATTGCAGTTATTGCATGGTATTCTATACACTACATTACTAGTGTTATCTTTAGGGGTGGGATGTTTAACTTGGGAAAAAAGATTTTTAACTGTTTTTTTATTGTACATTGCCACTTCAGCGGTCTGTGTACCAAGTTTTTTTCCGAGGGGTTCAGATAGACCTTTCACATATGGTATTTTGTAATATTTTTTGATAGTTTGCAAACTGCCATGTGTGTTGGTACCATTAGCGTTTTTGCGGGGTTGTTGGTTTAAGATACGGTTGGTAAAGTTTATGGGATAGTTATTTGCAGATAGGGTGTTCTTCAGTTGATCTATATTCTGTTTCCAAAATCTTTTATCTGATAGTCTAAAGACTTTGTTCTGAAGTTGTTTAATAATATTTATTTTTTGGTGAAGTGGGTGTGCTGATTGATAATTAAGTATTCGATTGGAGCTAGTAGGCATTTTGTATAGGTTTAAAATTATTTTGTTGTTATTTTGTATGAGTAACAGGTCCAAAAATGGGAGTTTATTTTCCCTTTGGACTTCGCAAATAAATTCCAGGTTGTCGTTTATAGAGTTCAATTTGTTCAACATCATGTTCACCTTATTTTTCGGAATCGCTGTGACTGAGTCGTCCATATATAAAAAGAAGAACGGGACTTGGAAATCAAGATTTTCCAATGTCTTGGACACAATATAGTCCATTACCATGGTTGCTAAAATTGGACTTATTGGCGCCCCCATGGGAGTTCCGAAGGTTTGTTGGTAGTATTGCCCTTCATAAACAAAATAGCTACTTTCAAATGTAAACCTTATGAGTAAGTGAAAATCTTCCTTGCTTAATTTAGTATGTTTGGATATTTCTGTCCAATGCAAATCGATTATGTTGACGACCAAATCCGACTAAATAAATTATCTACACAATTCCAATATAATGTAAAAAACTCCTATGAGGTGGCTGAGAAGTTGAAGAATGTAAACATACCAGACAATTACGAGCTAGTCTCTTTTGATGTTAAATCTCTTTTTACCAATATACCACAGGATTTGGTCGTCAACATAATCGATTTGCATTGGACAGAAATATCCAAACATACTAAATTAAGCAAGGAAGATTTTCACTTACTCATAAAGTTTACATTTGAAAGTAGCTATTTTGTTTATGAAGGGCAATACTACCAACAAACCTTCGGAACTCCCATGGGGGCGCCAATAAGTCCAATTTTAGCAACCATGGTAATGGACTATATTGTGTCCAAGACATTGGAAAATCTTGATTTCCAAGTCCCGTTCTTCTTTTTATATATGGACGACTCAGTCACAGCGATTCCGAAAAATAAGGTGAACATGATGTTGAACAAATTGAACTCTATAAACGACAACCTGGAATTTATTTGCGAAGTCCAAAGGGAAAATAAACTCCCATTTTTGGACCTGTTACTCATACAAAATAACAACAAAATAATTTTAAACCTATACAAAAAGCCTACTAGCTCCAATCGAATACTTAATTATCAATCAGCACACCCACTTCACCAAAAAATAAATATTATTAAACAACTTCAGAACAAAGTCTTTAGACTATCAGATAAAAGATTTTGGAAACAGAATATAGATCAACTGAAGAACACCCTATCTGCAAATAACTATCCCATAAACTTTACCAACCGTATCTTAAACCAACAACCCCGCAAAAACGCTAATGGTACCAACACACATGGCAGTTTGCAAACTATCAAAAAATATTACAAAATACCATATGTGAAAGGTCTATCTGAACCCCTCGGAAAAAAACTTGGTACACAGAGCGCTGAAGTGGCAATGTACAATAAAAAAACAGTTAAAAATCTTTTTTCCCAAGTTAAACATCCCACCCCTAAAGATAACACTAGTAATGTAGTGTATAGAATACCATGCAATAACTGCAATGTATGCTATGTAGGCCAAACAAAACAATATCTGAAAAATCGCATATCAGAACACAAAAGGGATTGTAATATTACTAAGATAGATAATCCAAAAACAGGACTAGCAAGACATTACTTCGAAACTGGACACCAGTTTGACTTCCAATCATCGACTATCTTAGACAGTCACCCTAATTTTCAACAAAGACTCTTCTTAGAAATGTGCCATATAACGACTAATAAACCCAATGTAAACCTTAACATGGATACACAAAACTTAAGTACAATTTACTGCAACATCATAACCAATCAGTTATAAACCGACCATTCGATTGTTTTCAATTGGTTCTGTTCCCCAAATTAAGTTTTTTAAAGGTGAAATTTGGTGGGGTGGGAATCAACATTATCAATAATTTAGTTTTACGTACCAATGCAGATCGATATGAAAAAGTAGTACCGAAACATCACGGCAAGCAATAGTACCGCTCTTTGGTGCGTGAACTTTTTTGTTTGTTGTTATTGATGAATCGGTCCGAATGATGCGATTCATAGCTTTAATAATCTAGGTAAGGTAAACTTTGGTAAGGTATTTTGTAGATAACAATACGACGTTTTTATTAGTCAAATTAGGTAATTGGTTCTATGTTGTCTGGATTGATAGTTTTTCAAAAATATAATTTGTGAAACTCATTTTACTTATCTCTTGTTATGTAATAGTCATTGTTGAAACTTTTTAAATGTTAATTTCTTTTTTATACGTCATTTTTTAATTTATTTTTTAAACCTTTGTAAATGCTTCTTTTTTGTTAAATGTTAATTTATTTTGTCAGTCATTTTTTAAAATGTTAATCGTTGTGAAATGCTTGTAACGTTCTTTGCATGTTTTCTTTTAGCCTTGAGAATGATGCGGAATGCGTCGAAACGTTGGCTGTTGATTTAGATATTTCATTAAATAAAGTCCAAATAAGCCGAAAACCGACTTTTCATTAGATTTTAGAACCTTTTTTGACAATCTATTGAACTATTACAATGTAAAAACTGTTAATGAAAATAATTGTCTAAGTGTGATAAAAGAATATTGTAACTTAAATATTTGTGAACTATGTTATTTCACGTTAGAGTTTATACACCTGAACCCAGAAAAAATAAAAGCAGATTTCATCAGAATATGCAATTTAGAAAGTGATGTATAGTTTATAGCAGTTAATGTATGTATTATGTAATTTTTAATAGTAATAAAAACATTTAAAAAAAACCAATCGTTATTTTATTATCTGTCTTGAAATCTGGACAAATACAATGAGAAAGACCGAAGAAGAAGGGAAACACAGGAAAAAAAGATTGCATGATACCATGCTTTCGATTAGGCTGTAATTGTCAACTACAGCCTAATCGGGAGCTTGGCACCATCCAAACTTTTTTTTTTTGACTTTGATGTGATTAGAACACACAACCTTCTGATCTGAAGCCAGACGCGCTACCAATTGCGCCACAAAGTCTTTCTAGTAAGATAAGAACCTATAACATTTGATTCTTTCCTCAGTATCATCATGTCAGTCGATAAGTTTGGGCGTACGCAACGTCTTAACGACTACAAAAATTTAGTAGTCAAACTAAGCAACGTAAAAAGTCCTGGTGGTGGTCGTGGTGGTGGTGGTACACAAGATTATGTTACAAAATCCTACACGGATAAAAAGCTTCAAGAAATCTCAGAAACGTTCAGAAAAGATATGGAAAACCGAGTGAAAACTGCGATACCCCCACAAGAAGAGAATAGATATAAGCAGCTGGAGTCCCAAATAAAGGAATGTCAGAAGAAAATTGGAAGTTTACTGAGTAAAAATCAGTCTATTGAAAATGATATTAAAACAAAATTGGCTGTTCGATTATCTGCCTTAGAAGAACAACATAAGGTGTTTAATGTAACGAAAAATTATATAAGCATTGGTGACAAGAGAATAGTTAGAGCTGCAAATGCTATAAACGATAACGACTTAGTCACCAAAGGTCAGGTAATCAAAATGATTAATGAGAAGGTGAAGCAGTCTGCAACACCGGCACCTGCAGCAGCGGTCGCTAAAAAGCCAAAAGGGAAGGGAAACTGAATATAGCACAATAATTGTCTCCGTTTTCAGTCTAGTAGAAGCTCTTGTTGAAGATGTGTGATCAATTGTTGAAATTCCTAACGGGTGAAAAAAATATAGAAGATTGTAGTGCTGATGAGTTGAAGGATTTACCAATTGGGTTCTTTCTGCAGTATGTCGATAGTACTACACTTTTAAATATCTGGGGGAAATTACCACTCGAATGTAGAAAAGATTTTGAGTTGCAGACAAGACTTCCTTGTTTCATGCATTATAATAGACCTGATTGGAGGACTCATGTAGATGGACCTCCTTCCTCACAAAACCAATGTTATTTCTGTATAAGAGCTCTGGCCAAATAGTGGAACGTTTCATTTCTTCAACAGCAATGGTTTGGCTAAGTTCCAATTTCATCGCCCTCGCAGCAGTCGTTCAAAATATCTTCTATATACATCCGCCATCAGATGTCCGAAATATCAAGGCACAGCTGAAAACGGATAGCTATTCCAACGATTTATGGATTCCGCTTTACTACCGCCTCATAGACAATGATCGTACACGCACTTTCCAGACAGTACTTCCAGAATCGCGGAATAGATTATACCAGTATAAATTGCGAGTGGAATTCCTGAACAACAGCATTTTAGATAGCAGGGAATGGACAACTATCGGAATTGGTCCGCAGCAAGAAACCATCTCCAAAATCATCTGTAGAAACGAAACTATAAACTCCACTTCAACCGATTCGAGATCTGATGCATCTATTTACTTAATCTATACCTGTATAATAACCATAGCTGTAGTTTTCGGTATTTTATTGTCTAGAATGTTCTACCTAATTATAGGCAAAAACAAATGTGATTATTTTAAGGTTTAATGAATAAAATTTTACCAAAAATTTGTTGTTTCATTGATCTTCATCGCCAATTGCATCAAATAAGGCATGCCTAAGAACAGGGTCTAGCTAACGGGGGCACCTGAGCCTGGGAACTTTTTCGATGCCGTGGGAAAATCTCTAGATTGGCGGCGTCTTTGATCTGAAATTTCGGGGTTTTGACCCGGGCCAACCGTGGGAACTTTTGCGATAGCGTGGGAACTTTTTCGATAGCGTGGGAACTTTTTCGATACCGTGGGAAAATCTCTAGATCGGTGGCGTCTTTGATTTGAAATTTCGGGCTTTTGACCCGAGCCAACCTCAAATTTTTGGGGTTGAAAACGTGGTTTAATAAATAAAATTTTATCTGAAATTATGTTTCATTACTCGCGCTATTTCTACCAAACTTTACCAAGTTAGATTAGGCTAGGCTAGGCTAGGCTAGTTCAATATTTTGGAATTCTATAGAATAATCCATTAGGAAAAAATAAACATTTCATCCGAAATTGCGCTCATGACCACTACAGTTGAAATTCAATTCGATTAGGCTAAGCTAACATCACCACTTAAAATCATTTTGCAGGTTAAGAAATTTTGATTCATTCATCCTCACTATTTTACAAAATTTACGCAGCTAGACCAATATAGATTTCTATAAACTAGACCAACTCCGAAAAACTGATAAAAGATGGCGCCAGGTAGGGTTAGAGTAGAGCAGATTGGTTGCACTGGAGTAGATCAGACTAGTTCGGAGTAGTTCGGAGTAGGTTAGACATTGACAGATGACTGATGACATTGACATCGACAGATATTTGAAATTTGATTGACATCTTTGACATTTGACATTGAAATTTGATTGACATGATTGAAAGGTGACTTGATTGACAGATGACGTCATCTCCTCCGGAGGACGGAGGATGGTGAAACCCCATAATACATCTACCAGTGGCGGTTCGCTCATATGGGCAAGGTGGGCACCGCCACCCTGGAGAGAAAATGGAAAAATACAAAATACCTTCAATCAAAGATAATCCTACTTCGGAGTAGAATTATCTTTGCTTTAATACAATATTTGAAAAGGCCGCGACCTTGAAAATCTAAAAAAAATTGCCCATGGCTGTTTTTTATTTTTGTCGCCCACCCTTACTTGGACACCACGAGCCGCCACTGACATCTACTGCATGCGCTTTTCTTTATGTGCCCCAAAAAAGATACAGTAAATTGTAATTATTTTCAGCCCTTGATCCAATTTTGTAACTATCCATTTACTTTTGGCGTTCACGCTGAAAAGAGCTCAACAAACATTCAATTTTTTAAAATTTCGGTAACTTCACAATTCATGATTTGGCCAATTTCATTCCAGGAATAAATTTTTCTTATTCTATTTTTGTAATCATTGTGAATAGGATTCCATAAGTATTCACATTTTCGATATAAATCTATGTCTCAACGATACAGAATTACTTCACTCCAGTGCACCCGAAATTGCGGCACGAAAATCTAAAAAATTATGTTAACTTATTGTTTCTTTCTACTATCTCAAAACTCCAGTCGTCAAAATTCAACGAATAATTTTCTCTATAACTAACTACAGGGTAACGGAAATAATACACACACTGTGTGTTACATTTGAAAGGATACATATTAGAGTGTGTTGATATATGCCTTTTCAAATTACCTTTTTGCTTAAATTTTGCTCTGCAAGTGTTACATTCAAAAGAATTAATATCCGAGTGTATTATTTAGTGACGCTTCAAATCGCATTTTCGTCTAAATTTTACTTTGCAAGTGTCACATTCAAAAGAACGAATATCCGAATGTGTTATTAAATGATCTTCCAAATTTGATTTGCTTTTAAATATAGCATGTTCTACTTGCAGAATATTGAAACTTCCTAATAACATCTTGTCTTGATGAATTGGCATCACTTGAATTATTTTCTTGCTTTATGAATATGCCTTCAGTGCCTATTAGTTCAATACCTGATTCTTCTATTTCTATTTTAATGTCATCTTCTAGATATTCATTTTTTATCATAAACCTAAAAAAAAAAAATGTTTATCAGATTCATAGCCAGATTTTGAAAAAGAACTAGTTGACCGGTGGCTTAGCGACAAATCATTCCCTTATCGATCACAAAATTTTCATTATAGGTGCTCGAAATAATTTTCAATTCGTTACTAAAAACTGCTCGTCTGTCAGCGATGGGTGGTAGCCATCGACTGTCAGGCCAGTAGTAATTTTTAACCAAAACCCCTTTTTACGAATACAAAAACGAAATCTTTTTGGGCATTTAGACAATTATATTAGAGACCTAAAAACACGTAGCAGAAGCCTCCCAGTGGTAGCCCAGCTAGGGCAAACGATCCCAAACAAAACAAAAAATAATGTCGTAACACTCCCCTCACTAGTACATTCACGAAATTTTTGAGGCTCAAATACAGTCAGATTGGTGTGCTAAAAATGCATGGTAGACGCCTTTCAGTGGTAGTCCGGCCAGGGCTGACGCTTCTTAAATCAAGTCAGAATTACGCCTAAGCGTCCCTTATTACGGATAAAGAAATTAAATAAAACTACAACATAAGTATTAGGGTCCAAAACACAGATGTATTAAACATTAATTAGCATTATTAATAATAAATGCGAGTTCCAGATTACATAGGAACACGGTAAAATACAGAAACAAAAAACAAAAACATTTTTGTTACATACAAAAAGGTTGTCTTCTTAAGCCTTATGCTTATTGCAAACTAAAGCCTCTGAAAACAAATTGATATGAAAAAAATCATAGAAGCTTTTTTGTGATCACTAATAGGTAATACAATTTATTACAGAAAAAAATAACTTACAAATATTAAACTAGCATTAACTACATTGAAAACAGTCCAGCAAGGTTAACGGCTTTGTAGGTAAAAATTAAAAAAAAAAACTTCGGGCCCGAAAATTTTTGTTTTCAGGGGGACACGTTTCTCTATTAATTTTCATCCCTGTAACGTCAACCCCCTAGCGAGGGCGGCTATTACCCTTATTTTTTTCAAATGGGAAGGGGTGCTGTGATACATCTCTTTAAAATTCATTTTCATATGCCACTTTGTTTTTTAAATTTGAGATACGCGTCCCCGAGCAAGGGCATTTGAAAAATTTCACTAACCCTTTTATCAGTTGTGCGTAGTAGGTAGTAGGTACTAACACAAGGACATTGATAATTGTTTGAAAAAAAGTTTTAATGGATTTCGGAAGTTTGTTGCTTGGAAATAGACCGACGTTATAGGTTAGAAGTAACAAGTTTGAAAGAGTAATTATAAAATTGTTGAGCATTTATCAATGTTCGAGGGTTATTCGGCTAGAATTTTTTTTGACAGCAATGCCCGAGGCAATAGCTCTGTTCCAACCGGCATGAGAACCGTTCCAGAACCAGTAATTTTCAGTTGCCCACCTATTTTTCAATAAGTTGAACGTTTATCCTACTTGAAAAATGAATTGATGGAGTGGAAATTACCGTCCTAGAATGGTTCTCATATCGGTTGGAACAGAGCTATTGTCATAGAGTGAATCTCATAGAACCCATGGCGCTGTGTTCAGTATAATGTTGAAATGATTGGGTGATTTGTGTCACATGAAAAAAAATAACATAATTTAATTGACTGTTGGAAGTCAAAAAATTTTCAAGAAAATATAAGTTTGTGCGTAGACAAATTCTTTTTAAAGTAAATGAGGTATATTTCTATTTGTAAATCCTCTTTCAATATCAAAAATGTTACTTTATGGCACTGGTGTATCTAGTGGTAAGACAGGGAGCACAGATACTCATTTTGACGAATATTGTCTTGTAACGTCATTGATCTACGAAAAAGTTATTTTGAATTTCTATATTTTTTTACAGAAAAACTATTAAATAGTTGAAAATTTCAAATTTATGTGGCATGTAACTTCAATGTGGAGATTTAAAAAAAATGTGCAAATTCCACATTCAACTTCATCTTTAGTGAAGGTTGATCGAGATCTGCTAAGTTATTTTTGCGCTAATATTTTCTTTCCATTTCATGACGATTGTACAGATAATTTTGAAACATTATAAATGGCACCCATATAAAATTCAAATTGGCCTAAAATAACCTAGAATATTTGGAATCAGGTTTGAAAGGCTAATCCAATGGAACAATAATATACGAAGTTTTTCATTTAAAAAAGTATAACTGTGCTTGGCCACACTTTTGTCACACATCCTAAATACTTGTAACTAACATCATTGAAAACTTTCTGATATTACCTACAACTTTGACATTTTATATTTCTAGGTATCTCTTCAAACAGGCGATATAGGTGTGGGTGCAAAATATAGAAAATCCCCCGGTACTACTGCCTACTGCCCTCGAGGGTGCTCGAGCACGAAATGTTATTTTCCTTCAAACACACAAAAGGGATGTTCAAGGTTGCCGCACTAGAAAAGAAACCCCATTTTTTAGGAAAATAAGTTGAAACATCTTT